TTTTTTTATCTGTGTCCTCTCTAGATTTATTAATCATGTCTTGCACTATGGGCACAATCTGTGCTGTTATGTGAGAAATTATATCTGATTTCATTTTTTCCAGATCCTCTTTTGTTGTCAGTTCAGGGAGTCCAGGTTGTTGAGTATCAGCTTGTTCCATCTCATTTCCATTTGGGGTTGTTGTAGGTGATCTGGAAGTCTGTTTTTGAGGCTTGTTTACGTGTCTTCTCGTGTCGGGGGCTGCTGCTGGTGGCTGTGCAGCTCACCTCCTCTGCCCTGGGAGTGGTAGAATGGCAGCCGGGGAGCCTCCTCAGGGTAGAACTTTTAAGAAGTCCCACACAGCAGAATAGGAGCACAGAGCATCAAAGTGTAATTCAAGTAAGTGGGTACTTCTGTCCACCTTATCTGTTGGGTTCATATACTAAGCTAAAGATTTCAAGTTTGATCTTTAAAGTTATGAATATTAAATTTTTGGGATTAAAGCATTGTATCATGCAAGGGTTGTTATAATTAGATATTGGAATATCTTCTAAAAGTTGCATGCATTCAGATCAGAAGTGGTAGTTTTGGAAGGTGATTATATCATGAGGACACTATATTCATCATGAATTCATCTACCGATGCTTTCATAGCTGAATGCGCTGTTAGGAGATGAGGCCAAGGAAGGCTGATCGGAAAGGTGTGTCTGCTACCCTTGTGCCTCCCTTCACTCTCCTGGCTGCCATGGGTGGAGCAGCTTCTTTCCACCATGACTTTCACCAGGTTGTTTCTGTCTTGGAGCCAGCTGACTGTGGACTAAGGCATTAGCCAAAATATAACTGACCTTCAAGTTGTGGGTGTTGGGTGTTCTGTCCCAGTAAAGAGCGAAATGTCCATGAAAAGAGTCTGTAACTACAGTACATCAAAAAGCAGGTGCCTGGTATCTTCTTGAGCAACCAAGGACCTATATTGACAGGCCTCGAATTAAGAATGAAAAATGCTATTTCTTTCTTTCTTTTTTTTTTTTAAATGCTGTTTCTTCAGTTGAGGAAAGTGTAGGAAGGGGAGATGTGGGGAAATGCCTTCAGGATTGAGGGGATGGTAGAATACACTTGTGGCTCCTCTCTTAAGTGATGAACCTGTTATTCTTTCCTTATGCAAGGAAAGAACTGAGAGGTCCCCAAGGGAAAGGTGAGTCTTGTTAGTCAAATTGCTTCCAGGTCTAGCTGCCATACACTTGGAGAGTGCCTTTGTCCAACCCTGGAAAATCTGAGTTTGACTGTATTACGAGAACTGTGAATTTCCTAACTATCTGTGTAAATGTTAATAACTCTTCTGATTCCATGTACACATAACATTATATTTGGCTGCTCAAATGGTATTCTTCAGCCAAGCAAGAATGCACTGACTCATCTGCTTCTTTTTGGTTCTAAGAAAATAGTCTGATTTTGTTGTTTATTTTCTGAGGTTGGTCATATGAGCCTGTCTCTAAGTGATGGGTCTGTGCGGGGTATGTGGACAAGATCAGGTTCATATCTTGCCAGGCAGACCGGATCCCAGACTAGTGGCCAACTCAACAAGCAGTGGAAACCTGTGAGGCCTTTGAGGATAGGAGGTGGCCATTCTTTGAACATATGTGTCATTTTGTTGGCACAGGTCAAATAGCTTGCTGTTTCCTTTTTATGACTTTTCACAGTATGTTCTTGGAGAGAAGAAAGATGTACAGATGTCATGTATAATTTTGAAATACCATCTTTTCTTGGAGTAGCCATGCTACACAGTAGGATGCTTTTTAAAAAGTCAGATTATGTCTTTTAGCATGTTAGATTTACTCTTTCTCAAAAGGGAAAATATGATGAGCACAGGTCTTTTTTATTGAAGACCTGCCAGCCACATCTAACCAGCAGCCCACCTTTTATTATCCTCTTTTAGAAACAAATATTATAAGAAATATAAAAGATAAGGGAAGTTTTGTCACTTTTATACATTAACTATATTATATATTTTACCTGTGGCCCAAGACAGTTTTTCTTCATGCAAAAAAGAAAAAAAAAAGCTGGTCACAGTTTGGGCATGGCTTTAAGACTATGATTAACCTTATGGAGCCTCAAATTACTTATAAAATGTCAGAGCAGGTAATGGCAGTGATGAGATTGGAGATTCTAGTAGGAATGGTATAACTTTGCAATTAGCATTTCTGAAGTCTAATGGCCTGGGATAGTAAGCACAGGTTTACTAAAGCACCGTAGTTTGCTATTTTCACTTGGAATTGAATTAATTCATCACAGAAAACTTTATGTCACAATCATCAGATGCTTTGATTGTCAGTCATTTATGTCACTTATTAATAAATTGGAGAAATGAAGCCATAAGTTTGGTGGTGGAGAGATAATAAAAACTGGTAGCATTCTAGAATCTTACACTTTTCAAACATACTAGTTTTATCCTATGAAGGCGCTTTCTACCTTTAGGTGAATTTAATTTAAAAAAATACAACTTGTTATAGCCAGGCATGGTGATGCACACCTGTAATCCCAGGACTTGGGGGACTGAGGCAGGAGGATAGTGAGTTTGAGGTCCTCTAAAGGCTACTTAGTAAGACTCTGATTCAAAAACAAAGCAAAACAAAATTCATGTGTACATTTAACCTTTTTACAAACCCTGAACAGTTCGGACAAGACAGAATTTCTGGAGTAAAGGGAGGAGCCTAAAGTCTTTAGGCCTTTCTGAAATAACTCCTTATAATAGTTTCTTCCACTCTCAGATGTATGAGGGCAGGAAGTGCTTAAGTTATTGCACTGTGCAATAGTCCCAGTCTGTTAAATTTCCATTAGTTCTTGTTTTTTTCAAAGTGTAGTATTGCATATTAGTTGGTTCCAATCTTCAGTTAGAGAAACAGGTGCTGGATTCATCAACTTTACAGTGTATTTCTTGTCTTTGTGCTTTTCTCTGCTATAAATTTTGTGCTGCTTACTTAGATTGCAAAATACTGTCTATAATTTTGCTACCAAATTATTTCAGAACTCTGTTGGTATAAAATATAAAGTATATTTTTAATATGTGAAAGGAATGTAATAGGTTAAATATGGACTATGAGTCTTCTCTTGTATTTTCTAGATTACATTCTTATTAGCCTGTAAGTATATTTGTATAATTTGGAGGGATATTTTTTTTCTTAAGAATTTTAATGTATATAAACAAGATTTTTTAAAAAAATAGCTTTTATAGTATTCATTGCTAAAGCATATGAATTTTTTTCTCTTAATAATCTCTATTTCCATGGGTTCCAATGATAGTTATTTTGATATTTCTACATTTATGGTAGCTTGAAATACTGATGTGTTAGTTATACTTTCCTCAAACACTTATACTAATTTTTATAATTTCTGTTAAACATGAAGTCTCTCATTGGACCATATAGAAAGTAGTTATTCTTATGTCTAAGATTCTGATTACTATTACGGCTCTCTTATTTAAATATAACAATTTATGTTCCCTAAAACATAACATTTGCTTTCTTAAATATCTTTAATGATAGTGCTTATGTATTAGAAAGTTTTCCATTGCTGTGACAAAATACCTGATTTAGTCAACTTGTACAGAGAAAAGATTTAATTTGGCTCATGGTTTCAGGGGTTTCAGTCCATGTTCACTTGACCCCATCACTTTGGACCTGTGGTGAGGCAGAACATCATAGTGAGTGAGGATTGCTTAGTAGAGCAAAACTGCTTACCTTGTGGCAGCCGGGAAACAAAGAGAGAAGGAGAAAAGGACCAATGTTCCAATATACTCTTCAAGGGCATACCCCTAATGACCTACTTCCTGCAACCAGGATCCAGCTTCTAAAGTTTGCACCACCTACTAATAGCACCACCACCAGGAGCCAAAACTTCAGCACATAATCCTTTGGTGGATGGTCCAGATCCAAACTACCCTGTTACAGCTTGCTTTGGCATTCTTGTAAACAATGATTGGCTTTCAGAGTAATGCATAAGTGAGAAGGCTCTAAGGTTGGATCACAGATAGCTGTGATAATTTATCTACTACTAAAAATTGGCCTGGCCCCATTGGCAAGAATTCCAGAGGGTATGGTACTTACAGAATATATTATCAGTCATTTGTGACACTTATTAATAAATTGGAGAAATGAAGCCGTAAATTTGGTGGGGGAGAGATAAAAGTTGTTATAAAAAGTGTTATAATAAACATTTATGAAATGTTGATATGTTCAATAATATTTTGCAAATGATCTGCCCTGCCTGCTCAAGTTCTGTAATACATTTTAGAAGGAAATCCAGGATTTTGCCACAGTGAATACTAATTACTTAGCAGCAACCAACAAATAATTGATAATATTTTCTGTTCTTTTTCCCGTTATATTAAGTTAGAAAAGATATCTTTTTCTTTAAACAAAGGCTTGTCTTTCCCAATTACAAAAGTAATGAAAAATTGCTTGTGAATGGTACATATGCTTCATGTAGTTTCCACCTGCATTTGAATACTAGCTGAGAAGAAATGGAATATTATCCCCCTTTGGAGATAATTTCTGTTTATCTTTTAAATACCAGAATGCTATTTGAAAATCTGTTTAATAAATAACATTAGTAGGAAAAATTGCTATATTGCTTAATATTCACCCAAATTGGAGAAAACAAAAAATAGTTCAAATTAGTACTTATTATGGCCTGAGCAGTGTGATCCTTTTTCTATACACATTTTCAAGGCTTAGAGTTAACTTGAGTGTCATGGCATTCTTTTCATACTTCTAATTGTTTGATTTTCATCAGCTCAGACATACATTCCATGAATAAATCTAAAAGTAATTGAAGTCTTGGGAAAGGTATCTTAGCCTCTCTGTGTCACTCTCTTACTCCTGGTTAACCCCCCCTGCCCCAATCACAGACTGGAAGTAATAATAAACATGCTATCATTCAATTTTCTGTAGGTTGCTTTCTTTGCAAAATGCTTAGCTTTTAGATGTTGTAAAGCTCCTTTTAAATTTAATGCTCTTTTCTTGTCAGGGCCTAGAGGAATCCCTAAGGATGAAGCTGAATCTTACCAAGGTAGTTAATGGTTGTCGTCTAGGAAAAATACAAAACCTGGGCAAAACAGGAGACCACACCATGGACATTCCAGGCTGCCTTCTGTACACCAAGACAGGCTCTGCACCACACCTGACCCAGCACACTCTACATAATATCCATGGGGTTCCTGCCATGGCTCAGCTTACGCTCTCATCCCTGTAAGTATGAGACCCAGTCAGTCATTCAAGCATGGACTCTGGCAGCAGCTTAGACATCTTAGTTATGTGCACTAGAGGGAAAGATTTCTTTTGCTCATATGTGTAATTTGTAGATTTTTCAGAATAAAATCACAAGACAGGTATCAGGTGTTATATGTCCTTTGACCCTAATATAACCACAGGTTAGACCTCTAATTTAACTGTGCTTTACTTTTCCACCAAACTTGCAGCTCCATACCGCCTTCCTACTCCTGTGCCCTGAGGTGCTAGGGCAGGGAATGCTCTATAAGAGCTAAACTTGGAGTTCAGGGGCTGTCATTATGCACCAGCCTCAAAGTTACCAAGCCTCTTCTTTATGAAAGCAGAACTAAAAGAGTTACATCATTTTCAGTAATATATAAACTATCTTTATATGAAATTAAAGAGCCACTACCTGATGAAATAATTGCAATATTGTGTTAATAACAGATTTTAAAGTGGCAAGAAAAGGAAAAAAATCCAAATATTCTGAAGCAGTTTCTCTTCTTGCAGAACCACTTACAAATTGAAAACCTTGATTTTGACTAATGAAGCTGGCCTAGTTAATTTGGTCTCTTGAATAATGAGGTACTTTGTTTTTCAAGACTACGTTTTCTGTCAGCGCTTACTGGGTGAGGAGAAAAGGACTTCAGTTGTACATAGTAGATGCAGAATGATTCATTATTGTGTCACATATTTCTCTTGTTTTACCTACAGAGCAGAACATCATGAAGTCTTTGCAGAATATAAGAAAGGAGTTGGAAACTTTATAGGTAAAGATTAATAATGTTACTGTGTGTACTTTGAGTTTTTTGTGTGTGAGAGCATCCGTGGTGGTAGACAGGTGTGGGGCAGACCCTCCAGGCCCTGAACAGAGGCCAAAGGTGAGAACTTGAGTGGTACATGCGTGAGATCTGAGCAGTCTGTCATGCCTGAGCCTCAGTCATCCAGCAGAGGATGAAGAGTTTATGCACAGTTATATTCTGATGTGTTGGTATCTTCTTCTGTTCCAGAAGTAGGATTTTACATGCAAATATACATATCCATGTATTTACAACAAAAGCTTAATGATGACAGCTAGAGAACTACTTCTTCTGTGGACCACTTTCTCCTAAAGCTTTTTTCCAGTATCTAGGACTCACTTTAGTGAGTGAAAATCTTGTTTCTATTGGTTATTCAGTCTTATGTTTCTGAAGAAAATTGCATGATGACTTGTTGGTTCAGTAAAGGAATTTATATAATCATTCTTCTTGATTTGAGGCCAATTGTAATCACCAGCTTTAAAGTATACAAGCATATAATTATGTGAAAATAGCTAATATATGCTATTTAGAGATAATTGTAATAACTAAAATTGTGGAAAATAAGGTGGGGAACTGCAAAAGTTTTTAACTTGCTTGTTTATTTTTGTCTTATGAAAAATGTGGGGTAGCATATGATATTTAAACATATGTGGTTTACTAATCATTTTTTGGACTTTAAAAAAATGACTGTCTTTTTCATTAAGAGCCTAAAGAAACTGTCATCTTGAGTCAAAACACACTGAGAAGAAGATCTATTTTCAGTATCCTACAGCTACCTATAATTCAGCCCCTAGTGACCCATTCATATTATTAATGACATTATCATTTCACTTTCCTAGTAGATAGTTCCTTTGGGAGAGTTCTTAGGATGAGTATACTTGATATTAAATTCTTTATATCAAATGAAGTGAGATCAACATGTCACTAAATACTTTCATTTATCTCATATTGAACATTTATATTTAATTCTTCTTTTAGATTAGTAATTTTCAAAACAGTGTTTTTTGTTTTGTTTTGTTTTTTGGTACTGGGGATTGAAAAACAATGTTTTTATTCATGTTGATAGGTCTTCTATAATTCCAATATCAGGTACCAGCTATTTACTGTGATTAGAGTTGCCTTGTCCACCATTGTACACTGTGAAGCTATTCTCTGTTATGGCTCAGTGTAGTGGTTCTTTCATGTTTATACAGGCATGCCAGAATCGCTCCTATACTGCTCCCTGCACGATCCAGTCAGCCCCTGCCCCTCTGGTTATGTAACAAATAAGGTATGTACTCAGAAGGGTTTCTAAGGCTGTAGCTCTGTCCCAGGGAATCAGTGTCTTGTATCTCTCAGATGTTAGAATCCCGTTGTCTGGGGTAATTTCTTCATGCCTTCTATTTATTTTGATGATTTTTAACAGGATGGGATGGTTTATAAGAATGAGTAGGGCAGTATTACAGTGGTACACACCTGTAATACCAGCACTCAGGCGGCTGAGACAGGAGGATCACCCTGAGTTCAAGGACAGCCTGAGCTGCATAGTGAGATCAAGCCTAGCCTGAACTACATAGTGAGACCCTGTCTCAAAAAACCAAAAAAAAGAGTAGGGCTGCCTAAGGACAAGTTAAGAGTTAAGGTGAAGAATCTGTTCCCAATGTTTTTGTTGTCACAAAAAATTTAGGGGTGGAGGAGGGTCAAGCACATGCCAAAAAAAAAAGAAATTGCTATGATGAGAGAAAACAGTAATGACTGATACCATGCTTTATTTGCAGTTTTAACAGCTTCAGGGAGAGTGAGAAAGTTGCTGATGAGTGTTATCACATGTAAAACTATATATAGTAAGACCTCAGTATAATACTGCTTACTGGTAGAACAGAATTGAAAAAGCTGGGTCTGCAGCCAGAAATTTTAGCTAGTGAAGAGCAGTATCAACAAGGCTTCATTGAAAGTTTTTGTTCAGGCGAGACCTCAGTGTGTATTGCTGTTCTACAAATGCAGTCATTTTTCAGCCCTCACCTCACTGATGTCAATGGTATCTCTTAATTATGCTTTTAAGTATTATTTTCAAGTCTGGGTGTGAAGGCACATACCTGTAATCCCAGCATTCTAGGAGGCTGAGGCAAGAGAATTGCAAGTTCAAGCCCAGCCTGGGAAATTTAAAGACTTTGTAAGACCCTGACTCAAGAAAAGGTCTAGGAATGTAGCTGAGTGCAAAGGGCCTGGATTCAATCTCCAATCTGGAAAACACACACACACACACAATTTTCAGTTATTTTGTTTTGTTTGCTTTTTTTTTTGGTATCAGGGATCGAATTCGGAACCTTCCACTTGTGAGGCATGCAGCAGAACCACTGAGCTAAATCCTTGGCACTGTTTGCTTTTATTTTGAGTTCAAAAGAAAATATTTTGACCTCAGTTTTCCACACCATTTGACAGAGGAAGCAGAGAGAGAAAATTCATTTAAACAGTATTCTTTTGCTTTAGTATAGACTAGAAAGATTGTATGTGGCCTCTCCATATACATTCTTGGTAATGTTTTCAAAGAATAGAGATGCTGTAGGGGAAAGAGTAGCCAAAGATAGAATATTGTGTCTTAGTTACTTTTCTTATTGTTGAGACAAAATACAGGACACCCAAAGTTAAAAGTGGACAGATTTATTGAGGCTTTGGGGGATCATCTAGACACCAGCCATAAAATTATGTAGATTCTCATGAACTGTGGGATTGATAGCTTTACATATACTTCTGTATCTCCTTCAGCCTAAAAATTAGTAAATGCCTATCATCATCATCATTATTATTATTATTAATGCGTGGGGGCGTAGACTGCTTTTGAGATATAGATGCAAATTGTGATAATCTACTTAGACAAATATAAAATGCTGTGATAAATGCTGTCATTTCTATCACAGAAATAATTACAAATTGCTGTAGGAGTTAAGAGTGAGCAATTGATTATGCCCAAGAAAGTCTTGGAGAGGACATGAGAGTAGATATTTAAACTCAGATTCTTAGAGACTGCATAGTATTTTTCCAGGCAAAAAAATAGAAGGGCATTTCAATCACAAGAAATAATGTGATTAAACACAGAGAAAGGTCAAAGTGTGTGGTTTATCCAGACCAGCAAGGGTAGGAGTTGGGGTGGAAGATGGGACGGGCACAGGAGGAGACTGTGCTAGAAAAGTGTGACAGAATTCTTTAGGGGCCAGTTCAGAAGTTGCCTTGCATGTCCATTGAAGGATTCTGTGAGTTCCCTAGAGAATTTTGAATATAGTGTAACTTTTTAAAAAAATTACTTTTGAGACTGGGTCTCACTGTGTAGCTCGGCTGGCCTCCAACTCCTGAGATCAGGGATCTACCTGCCCCAGCCTCCTGCATAGCTGGTCTACAGGAGCACACCATGCCAGCTGGCACATATTTACTCAGTCACTTGTTTGTTTGCTGTTTTTGGTACTGGGGATGGAATCCAGGGCCTCAAAGGCAAAAATTGAATTGAAAAATAAAACATCGCCACAACAGAGCTGGGTTGAGGCTCTGGAGTGAGCTCCGGCCAAGTGTATGAGGCCCTGGCTCCAGCCCAAGCCCAGGACACAGGCAGTCAGCACCCTGGCCCACAGAGTCTGCTATGACACAGGACCAACCACATGCAGAGTCACAGGCGTGTGGCCTTGGGGCAGTGGTGATGGTTAGGTTTAGGGCACAGTCTTGGTTGAGGACAGGCCTGGTCTGAGTGATGGCAGCATGCTGTACAAGCGGCTGGTGCCCTTCTCTGCAAGATGAGAATGGCCTATGGTGCTTATCTGGCTTCTTTTTTTTTTTGGAGACAAGGTCTCACTATGTAGTTCAGGCTGTCCTCGAACTCTAGGTGATCCTCTTGCCTCAGCCTCCTGAGTGCTGGGATTACAGGTGTGCAACCATGTCCAGCTTTTCTTTTCTTCTTCTCCTTTTCCTCCTCCTCTTTTTTTTTTTTTTTTTTTGAGACAGGGTCTTGCTAAATTGCCCAAGCTGAGTTTGAACTTGGAATCCTCCAGCCTTAGCCTCCCCAGTGGCTGGGAGTACAGGCATAGCCACCACACCCAACATTTATTAGATCACAGGTGTTATTTATTTATTTATTTATTTATTTATTTATTTATTTTTTGGTACCAGGGATCGAACTCGAGATCTTGTGCTTTCGAGGTAGGCACCGGAACCACTGAGCTAAATCCCTGGACCCTACAGGTGTTATTTAAATTAGTACTTCTTCCTCAGCTGTCAAATTAAGGTTATTAAATACTGGCAAAATGTTTTAAATAAAACTGAGGCTAACAAGATGACATCTGTTTTATTTTCTTTTTTGTACCCCAAATCCTAAAATGCATTGCATTCAAACTTCTCCATGTGGTACATTTTGTAGTATGGAGGTTTTTTTGTTGTTGTTGTCACAATTAAAAATTCAAAGCCAGCAGGTGATAGCACAGTGGTGCTCACCTCTCATCTCAGCTGCTCAGGAGGCTGAGGCAGAAGAATCGCAAGTTCGAGGCCAGTCTGAATGACTCAGCAAGTGAAAAAGTGAATGTCTCAAGTGAAAAAGGCAAAACTCCTTGGTGAGTCCTTGCTTAGCATAAATGAGGCCTGAGTTCCATCCCAGGCCCTGCAATAAAAGCCCAAATGTAGTAAAATTCTTTTTTTTTTTTTTTCTTCTTCAAGAAATGGTATGGTTTACTCTCAAGCACAGACAGGCCCCAGCCTGCCGTTCCTCTACACAAACAGACCCCCCTTTATTCATCTGCAGGAGAACATGGGACCATTGTCCCTGCTCTAAGGAGTCACTGTGAGATGCCAGGCTGGGAGATGGCGCCACCCCGAGGGCTCTGGATGGCCACCGACATTTCTGGCTGGAGTAGATGCTGCCCCTGGGTGGATCCTGGCCACTGACCAGGCTGGGAATCTCTCTGTCCCTGGCTTGATAAAAAGCAAAATGCCCTCAATGTCTTGGGCCAGGAAGGGCAACATAGAAACAAGGAATTAAAAAATAGATTCTCTATAAAAACATAGTCACTTGTTACCAAAAGGCAGATGCCCTGGAGGAAAGGGCCCCCTGGATTCCTTCAGCTCATAAACCCATCCGGTTCCTTCGGGGGCTCCTGGGGAATGTAAGGCACTGGTGACAGGGACCAAGAGAGACAAAAATCCCTGCCCTGAAGGAGGTTACATTCCAGATGAGATGGTAGAATTTCATAAAGAAAATAAAATAGAATTATGGGGGTAGAGTGGGGTGGGGAGGAGGAATTATATCAAGTAAAGTGGTCCGGGGTGGCCTCTGATGAAAGAGGCCTTTGAGCAGAGATCTGAGAAACAATTATGTGGGAATCAGGAGGAAAAGCATTTTAGACAGAGAGCTAGTGCAAAGGCCCTGGGGTGGAATGCCACCAGGAAAAGGTAAATGGCTGAGTGCTTTTTCCTGGGCAGTCTGGCGGCCAGCACCTCTCACCGGCCTGATCTTCTTTGGGGATTAAGGGTTGAGGGAAGGACGGAGTTAGGGAATATAGATCTAGGATGAAAAAAATGTATCTTCATACAACTAATGCAAAAATGGCATGTGGCTCGACACTCCCCATTCTAGGGTAAAAAAGTAAGAAAAAGCTTTAGCCCTGGAATATAGGATGGTCCAGAAGGAACAAGAATCAAGACAAGGGCTGGGTGTGGTGGTGCACGACTGTCATCCCAGCACTTGGGAGGCTGAGGCAGGAGAATCTCCATGAGTTCAAGGCCAGCCTGGGCTACATAGCAAGTTCAAAGCCACCTGAACTACATAACGAGACTTAAAAAACAACAAAAAAAGAAGGCAAAAGGGAAAAAAATAGAGAAGTTCAAATCCTGTGGGATCTGATGCCATTGGCCCCCCACCAAACAGAGTTCTGAGTCAGATGCATCTGGGGCACAGGGAGAAGTGAGCTAACACACACCCTGGCTAAAATGCGGGCCCTGCCTGGACGCAGATCAGGCAAGGCCAGCCAGGTCTCAAGCCAGAATGCAGTTTTAGCTCAGTACTGCCAGCTTTTCAACAAGGGTGGTGGATTCAAAGTTCCATTTTCTTTGTGACTTGTCTGAGCTAAACATCTGCATATGGCCTGCTTGAAAACGTGGTCTTTTTAGCTTCTGCTGCTTGGCCAGGATCCTGCTTCTGCCCTGGGATCCCCCAGGGGATGGAAGTCCCCAAGGGACTGTCTGCATCAGCTCTGGAGTCTGCTCCGGGGCTCACACTGTTGTCCCAAACACCGAAGGCTGGAGGTGATCCTTTTCCTCTTCCGCCTTCTCCTCCTCTGCAGTGCTGTTGGTGAGGGGTGGCCCGGGCCCACCGGGAAGCAGGTGGCCGGCTGCACTGTCCGGCAAGGGCCCCAGATGCTCAGCCTCAGCCAGGGCAGCCAGCAGTGCGGCCAAGGGTGGCCGCCGGTGACAGGCGTCCTGCAGCAGCTCGGCTCGGGGCCGCAGCTGCCCGATGAGCTCGTCCCTCTGGCACACAGCGGCCTGCAGGCTGTGGACAGTGGCCTCAGAGGTCAGGAGTTGCTCCTGGAGAGCCTCGATCTCGCGGACCTTGACGTGGCCCAGCTCCTCCAAGGAAGCGCGCAGCTGATGGTCGTGGCGGGCCAGACGCTCGGCCTGGGCACGCACCGTGCGCTCTGCCGCGTCCAGTCGCACCTCCAGCTCTGCCGCGCGCCGGTGCACTGCTGCCAGGTGCTCGTTTGCCTCCCGGATCCAAATGTAGTATAATTCTTTACCCACCATGTCAGGATATGGAATCAACATCTCTCCAGTTATAAAAAATTATGCTTTATCATTTTATTCTTTTGATTTGCTAATTCCTCACTGTCTTGCTCCATGGCAGTCCGTGTCTGTGTGGGGTGGTGGAGGAAGAGTAGAAATGACCGTTTCCAAGTTCATGGCAATTCAGCAGGCCCTGCAGCCAGACTGGTTCCAGTCCCTCTCAGATGGAGAGGCATCTTGTGAGGAAGCAATTTCCATAAAAAGAGCCAGAAAGTCCGTGGATCGAACACTTCTGTTTCTGGACAGCTGTCTGCGACTACAAGAAGAATCAGAGGTAAGGCTGCTCCACTGACCACGATTCCTTCTTGAAGCTTTACCTCATTCCCATCCATGACACCCCTCTGCTCCTCCTCGCACTTCCCTCACATCTTGGTCTGACTTACTTACTCCTCTTTTTCTTCTGTGAACGCTAAGAATTGTTCTCTAGGATTTTTAGACTCTTCTTTTCACACTGTGTGTTGTCCCTAAGCAGTCGTCCCTTAGTTTTAATTACTTGATAATTCTAAAGTTGTGTATGCCATCAAGGTCATTCTACTTAGCTTCAGAATTACATACTAGCTGTATTATATCACTAGACTGTCCAGCAGACTCAGAGATAACTGGACTCTTGTCTCATCTCCTCAAAGCTGTTCTTTCTTGTGTTCTTCCTCAGTACTTCATGCCATTTAAAGGCATCCACCAAATTCCTTGGTCTGAAAATTTAAGCTTTTTAAGATTCATTTTTTTTCCTCATGCACATTTAATATCTAAGTGTCCATTCTACTTTGAATCTGTCTCCATAAGCCATGACCTCATCATCTCTGTTGACCAGTGGTTACCCTGGTTCTCTCTGCTTCCATTCTCATTTCTGTCCAGTCCATCTTGAGACCTGCTTTCCAGTAAATCCTTTTAAAGCACAAATATGAGCCCATTGCCCATTTTCCCACAAGAATTTAATGAGTCTACTTCATCTTTACATGGCATGGACAGCCTGCTGTAACTGGTCCCTGCCTTTTTCTTTGGCTCGTCATGGGCTGCTTTTTCCTATGGTCTACACTCTGGCCTTTCTGAATTATTAGCAGTTCCTTAAGGCATTTGCCTATTTCATTTTGGGGCTCCTGTACACAGACCTTCTGAACTGTTTTTTCTTTTCAGTACTGGAGATTGAACTCAGGACCTTGCGCTTGCAAGGCAGGTGCGGTGCCTCTTAGCTAAATCTCTGGCCCCTGTTTTTTATTTTCTTATTTCCAGCCATATTCCTCTTCTCTCTTCCATCTGGTTCATTTAATTCCATTCATCATCCTTTAGGACTAGTCCCTGATACTTCCAGGAAGTTGTATATATCCTTTGCTATGTCTTTAATTTGTATGTAGCCATATTTAGCACCAGTTATATTGGTTGCAGTGATTTCCATATACATTTGTCTTTATGAAATTGTCTCTTCCTTAAGTTCAATTTCTGTATTTCATTTTTGTGTCTTCACCATGTAGCAGAATGCCCAACAGAGAGTAAGCCATCAGTAAATATTTGCTGATGGAGAATGATTATACTGGAGTGAGAAGGGTGAACCTAGAGCAGCAAATAAGGAAGCCTGAGAGCAGAGTTAATGAAGTGGGAAAAGGATGCATTTACTAGGAGAGAGCAGAAGAGGTGAGGGGATGAAAGATATTGGTGCAGGGAATATCAGTATTTGAGATAATTTATGTGGAGTAATCCTGATCGGGTCCCACAATGGCAGAGGATTGAGGAACGTTATTTTGAGTCTGTCTGAAAATAAAAAATACAATTTGACTAATCAATTTAGTATATATGAAATAATTAGAGGAAACTTAGTTGTCATTCTGAATAAAGCTCAGAGTATCTGCAATAGAAGTCCACCATAGAGAGCTTGCCATGGATCTGGACAGTTAGTCTTGGCTTGCTAACAGTTGTTTTAAGCCAGTAATTATCTTTGTATAACCAGCAACATTTGGATACATAGACAGCAGGGCAAGGAATGTTACAAAGATGATTATTAGAAAGGTCAGATAAGCCTCAAATCCCTCATGTGTGTTGTTATAATCAGCCATGTCATTTCACATTACTTCTGTGTATTAGTCCAACAATAGGGTTCCTCTCTGCATCCCTTATGCCTACACCTTTGTCTTGATAGGATTATTACTAGTGCCCCTCTTTGTATAATGTTAAAGTGTTCCATTTTAGCCGATAAATGATATGCCCACACCTCTCACATTTGTGAAAGAGTTTCCAAAATAGGGCTGTGCTACTCTTGTGAAGAGACAGGCCTGTGTAATTGTTTCTGTATATTTGCATATATCTTTTCCTTTTTTTGTAACCTCTTTCTCATTTTATTTGCTAGATTGTCTTATTTAGAATGCTCTTCAATACTGAAGTTCCATAAGGTTCTGTCTTTGGGTTTCTTGTCTTTCTGCATGAATTCCCTAGGTCAGGGATAGGAAATGGATTTTATGCGAGGTGCTTGGAGCCCTGCCTAGGATCTATTAGCCATGTCTGCATGGAAGTAGGAGAGGGAAGTGGTGGCATTTTTCCAGGTGTCTACTGCTCTAGCCTGGGCCATTTCATTTGTATCACCATATCCATAACTTAAGATTCATATATTCAGTGGTTGAATTAAAACTCATTTGTACATCCCACTGATGCCTCAGAGTTAGCATGCTTAAAACATAATCATTTTGCTTTGCCCTCCCCTGTTTCTCTAGGATTGTTTTCTGTCTTTGCTCATATCACGATCTCCCAGGATTTCCAGAACAGAAACCAGTATTCATTCTAGAATTCATCTTCATTCTCTACTGAGAAAACTAATCAGTCACATTGTGTTGATCCTACCTCCTGACAGACATTGTGCCTTTCCTCTTCATCCCACTGCCATTGCCGTAGTCCAGGTCATGTCATCTTAGTAAAGTTGTATCCTACCTCATCCTTAAGTTATTTCCCATACTGCAGCCAAAATATTTTATTCCAGAGAAATAGTCTGATTATGTTCCTCTTGCTTAAATTGAAGAAATTCCATCTTCACATTATTCCAGATTTCCTCTCTATCCCTCTTTCCTCTGAGGGCCACTGTTGATTTGTATATGTCCTTAAAAGCCTATTTTTTGCAGTTATATATGTGTAGCTAGTACATAGATGTGTGGGCCTGTTTTACATAAATACAAGTATATGTTCAGGAATTTGCTTAGTTTTCATTAACAGTGTCCTGAGACTTTTCCCCGGTGAATGTACATATTATTTTATCGACTGCATTCTTTTTAAAACAGCTGTGGAGGAAGCCATACTATGAATATATCATAGTTTATTTAAGCCTTTACTCTGTAGTGGATGTTTAGATTGTTTCTAGTTTTCGTTATTCTGAACATCTTTGTAAATGTACCATGGTGCATATGAATGAATGTATTTGTAGGAGAGATTGTTAGAAATGTAATTTCAGAGCCCAAAGATAAAAGCATTGACATTTTGATAAGTGTTACCTACTATCCCTCCAAAGAAGCTGAACTAATTTTTACTTTCTCTAGTTATCAAGACTTACAAGTGCCATTTCACTTATACTTTCACCTCAACTATGTTATCAGTATTTTATCTTTTTGCTTATTATGATGGACAAAAATGGCATCTCATTGTTTCCCATTTGCATTTCCTTACTGGTGAGGTTTTGTAGCTCTCCATATGTGGATAGGGCATTCACATTTATTTTTCTGAATTTCATTTTTACATAGTCTACTTTGATTTATCAAAGCTTGCCATTTCTTTAGAGGATTTGTTACAGCTCTTTCTATGGTGTAGATATTTGTCACTTCCCCAAAGAATAAGTCTGTCTTTGTCTTTCTTATGGCACATTTCATTAGAGAAGTTTTAATATTTTTTGTTTATGTGTTTCGTTTTTTGAGATGAGTTCTCACTATGTAGTTCAGGCTGGCCTTGAACTCTCAGAGATCATCCTGCCTTGTCCCCGAGTGCTGGGATTATACATATGCACCACTACCCAGCTAGTTGTAAGGTTTTTATACTCAAACATGTCAACCACATCTCATAAGCTTTAGTTTGCTTATGAAGGCTTTCATTAATTCAAGATTATAAAAATACTCAGGTCATTCTTCAAGAACTTACATAACTATATTTTTATGATTAGGTATTAGTCCCATCAAGATGATGTACAGTAGTCATCTTTGTCTTATTTTTTTCCAAATGGACAGCCTAGACTAAATTCTTTCTTTTCTTTTTTTTTCTTTTCTTTTCTTTCTTTCTTTTTTTCTTTCTTTTCCTTCTTTTCCTTCCTTCCTTCCTTCCTTCCTTTCTTTCTTTCTTTCTTTTTACTTTTCCTTCCTTTCCTTTCTTTTCCTTTTCCTTCCTTTCTCCTTCCCTTTCCTCTCTCCTTCCTTCCCTCTTTCCTTCCTCCCATCTCACCCCGCCTTTTTTAAAATACTTTTTACTGTGTTGCCTAGGCTGGTCTTGAACTCATCAGCTTAAGCAACCCCCATCCACACTCCCAGACTGACTGCTAGCCTGGCTAGACCAAACCATTTCTACACTCCTAAAGTTGTCTGTAGCCATGAGACTTCAAGATAGCATAAAGCAGACCTGAATAGTCCTTTGGACAAATAAAATCTCTTCCTTTTGTCCTTTTCCAGTTTTACCTCCTCAGTGTACATTTCATTTAATCTGAACTAGAACATGATGGTGTAGTGGTGTGTGTGTGTGTGTGTATATATATATATATTATGTATATATTGGTTTGTACATATAGGTGTATGTATAGGTCTGTGTATATATAGGTGTGTGTGGTATGTATGTATATATACATATACATATTCTCCCCCCTACACACACCAGGGATCATACTCAGGACCTTGTGTTTGTGAGGCAGGTGCAGTGCCCTTGAGCTAAATCCCTGGCCCTATGATGGCATATTTTGATTGCCTATTTTTCCTCAGCCTTTTCTCACCTACTTGGTGTTTTTCACAGCATGTTCTCTGGAGCCCTAAGGGCACTTTGAGGTGGGGGGGGTGTGCCATCCCTGTTTCATCTATGGCAGCTTTGTTGAGATCTCTTCTGTCCGTTGACTTCTGGGTAAAGTTTGTGTGAACCAAGATCTCAGTTACTGAAAATCCTTTTATCCCCTCTCAGGTCCTTCAGAAAAGCTCGATCATTGGAGTGATTGAAGGCGGAGATGTGATGGAGGAGCGGCTCAGGTCAGCTAGGGAGACAGCCAAGCGGCCTGTCAGTGGCTTCCTCCTGGACGGCTTTCAGGGGAATCCAACAACCCTGGAGACCAGATTGCAGTTGCTGTCATTAGTCACTGCGGAGCTGCCCGAAGACAAACCAAGGCTAGTGTCGGGTTAGGGTGCAGGCTGACCTTGTGGGATCCAGGCCGGGCATGTTGGGGCCTCGTGCAGGGTGCAGTCTGTGTGTGGGTGTGACTTCTAATGTTCTGATGTCTCCTGTCTGTCCTTTCTCAGCAGACTGTGAGGGAAGTTTCCATCAAGGCTGATGCAGAATGCAGAGCAGAGGATAATTGCCATGTGCATTTATTTGTTCCTCATAAGTGAGGACAAATGTACTATTTCCTCTCAGTGTGCCAAGTACAAGTATGTTTTTTATTCATTAAAACATGGTACCTGGGAGCAAGTATAAAATCATGTGTTGCTGTAGTTTAAATCAAGGAAAGATGAGGACAGGGCTAGGGTGCCTAGTGGAATGAAGATGTATTCTACAAATAAGAACCTTGAAAAAGTTCTTAGGTTTGAGACAGATAGTGAAATTGAAGGGACTGGCAGCACTGGTAGGTTGGTTCTTAGGGTTCCATAAATTGCAGGATTCAGTAGGTACTGGTGAGAGCAGATGATCTGAAGATTCAAGGTATAAATTCCAAGTTTCTAAATGCAATTGATGTCATATTAAGGTATGATTCTCTCTCTCCAAACATGGGTGAATCTGGAGGTCATTATGTTAAGTTGAAAAAGTCAGGCATAAAAATCCAAATATTTCATGATCTTACTCATATATGGAGTCTTTTTTTTTTTTTTTTTTTGCAGTACCAGGGATCAAACTCAGGCCTTGCGCTTGCTGGGCAGGCACGGTGCCACTGAGCTACATCCCAGGCCTTATATATGGAGTCTTAAAAAGTTGATCTCACAGAAGTAGAGAGTAGAATGGTGGGTACCATAGCCTAGGGCAATTGGGGAGAAAATGGGGGTTAGAAGATGTTAGTCAAAGACACATAATTACAGTTTGGAGGAATATGTTCAACAGATCTATTGTATAGCCTGGGGACTATAGTTAATGATGATATATTGTATTCCTAAAAATACAAAGGGAATGGATGTGTTCTCATTATTAAAAAGATATTTATATGAAATAGTACATTTGTTAATTAAGTAGGTGTAGCCATTTTGGGGGTATGTATACTTCTAAACATGCTATACATGACAAACTCATACAATTTGATTTGTCAATTTAAAAAAAAACAGTGTAGTCTTTTGTCTCACTTGATGTAATATACTGTTTCCCTGCAAATAATATTTAATTATGGGGTGCTCTTTTAGACTCCTTACAGGCTATTGAATAGTGTATATGTAATTTTATCACTTTTTTAAAAAGGTAGGCAAGACATACACTAAAGAGCTTGAGTGGTAGATAAAGCTCAGTGAAATCTTACACGTGAATAAACTTATGTGAAGAACACCCAGAACCAGGTATTTTCCTCACCCTGCCATCCTTTGTCCCCTCAATTTTAACATGGTTCTTTGATGTTCATTACTCCCTCCTCTATGCCTGTGTCATTCTAGCACAGAAAACAACTCAGCACTAGTATTTCTAGTCGTTTTCTAGACGTTTTATGTTAAGTGCTCACACATGTCTGTTATGAATGTGAAAGCTGGGATTGTTTTTCTTTCTGTGAGTGTGTAGGGAAGCCAGCTTCAGCTGGAGAGGAGTTCTAAAACATTACATAACTTGAAGGAAACTATAGTCAGGAAAACTGGCGTGTATTTAAGGGTTCTGCTTGTTTAATATTACATACGCCTTTTTTTGAACTTCTTTTAGAAATCAGAGATCATGTAAGCTTTTCTCGTTTAGTTCATGAAAAGAGACTATGGGTAGAAAAGCAAACATAAAAAATAGTTCTGAGCAGCCAGACTTGATCCCTACGTCTTGTTTGTGGCAAATTCTGATTGAGAATTAAAACTTCCAGAATGCCTTACTCATTACCTTTGAAGACATTTTATCCCATAGTGCAGACTTTTTATTAACAGAGAAGAGAAAAAAACAAAAGCCAGCTAGATTCTTAGAGTCTGTGGCCAGAGTTGAAATTCTAAGAGCAAGATGTGCTTATAAATGAACCTATGAAGCATATAGTAGACAGAATGTCTTTATGAAAACTAATTATGAAAAATTATGGACAAAATACAATTAAAATGAGGAAAGTATTTGAGGGAGAAATAAAATACACAACTTTTAAAAATTCTGTATAGTATATAGATAGACTATAAAGTTCCATCTAAGACCAGGGAGGTTGTCCAGAAAGGGTCAGAGTGGAAAGGAAACTTACAGTTACTGAGCTTCTTTCTGAAGTTCGAAATTGTATTATGTGCTTTTTAAAGTATCTCATTAATCCTCACAGTGATTCTGTGGAGGTATTATTGCTCTTGTTTTTAAAATGAGAAAAGTAAAGCTCAGAGATATTAAGAAATTTGCCCCAAACACAGCAGTTAAATAAATGGTAGAGCTAGGATTCAAGCCCGAGTCTCTCTCCATCACACCTTAAGTTCCTTCTGCCACACATTGCTGTCCACTGCCTGCCACTCTATCCTTGATTGCTGGTGTTCATTATCATTACTCTTCATTCTCTGATCCTTCAAAAGTCTCTGATTTCATTCGTGGGATTGTCCTCATGTCACTGTCCCGATTGTTACTTTTACAGGCTCATTTGTGGTGTTAGCCGGCCAGATGAGGTGCTCGAGTGTATTGAAAGAGGAGTGGACCTATTTGAGAGTTTTTTTCCTTATCTAGTGACAGAGCGAGGCTGTGCCCTGACATTCAACTTTGACTACCAGCCGAACCCTGAAGAGACATGTAGGTCTTTTGAAGTTAATCTCTGTCTTATCCTTAAGTTTCTTCTATTTCCTATTAATTTTGGCCTGAGTCATAAGACAAAAATATGTACACATCAAGCCAGTCTTTTATAAAACTTTATCTTTATTTTTTATCTGTGTACCCTGGCATGTTGGCACATAAAACTAGGTACTTAATACTATAAATACAGCTCATCAATATTAGGATGTGATTTTGTAGTGAGCAAAAACAAGACCTCTTCTGTTAGCAACCTGAAAGCATAGTGAATTATGATGAAAATCTAAGAAAAGAAAGCCTTTGAACTGCTTTATAAAGGTTAATTTGTTTTTTCACAGAAGACTTTTTGTTTGCTTTTTGCAAATCCCATGCAATTAAATTTCAGGGAGACTCACTATCATCTGATTCTCATGTTGCTTTTGCTTTTTGGGGTTCTTTGACACACCGAGAGGTGAAAACTGTTTTCCTCTGCTAATATTGCTTTGAAACACTACCATTTTCTTTTATTGTTTAGCTGCTTAGAAGTCAAGGCAAGCAGTTTCAGAGTCTAACACTCAGATGGCAGTGGCAAAGGACCCAGTACACAGGCTGTGGGCAGCAGTTGAAGCAGTTCTAGAAAGTATGGCCACCCCAACCTGCCCCTTGGCTCTACAGAGGGGCTTTCCCTTTCTTGTTCCTGTGCTCCTTTGAACTCTTCTTCGACCACTTCCAAGCTTAAATCTGAATAGGGCTCTAGACTTCTTTAAAGGTTTGTTTTATTCCCCACAGGTGACAAAAATTTCATTCAGAAGATGTCACACTTTTTTTTAAGGCAACTTATGCATTATTCTGAATCAGATTACTTCTGGAAATAAAATAAATCAGGTTGATCAAGTTCTTATACATAGGAGGTCGATTTTACTGTCCTTTTAGTCAGACCGGAGCATAATGTATGTGGATAGGCATACTATTAACACTTTATACATTTTCATGACTTCATTTTCAAACTAAATTATTTCCACCAGGACGAGGACAACTGTTAGTCATTCAGTACCATGAATATGCAAAGCTCTAAGAAGAACCTGATACTGAGTTCTCTGGAATAAACAAGTTCCTTTTTGGCTAGAGAAACCCAAATTCCTTTATGATTAAGAAAACGGAAAAAAGTTTTTTCAGTTTTTATTAAAGAATTATTAATCATATTTGTATGATATGTATGTGTATTATAAATAAGTCCTTTGCCAATTAAATAGTTAAAATTCTAAAGAAATAAATTTCCAGCAGTTTCACTAAATGACAAAGAGTTTTCCAAAATGTCAGGACTTTATTATGGTTTCCCACATCCACACACAAACTCACAGGAACAAGCTCTTTGCTCGGTGTTCAGGCTTTCTTTGACTTGGACAAAATTACCTTCCTACGTAATTTACCAGCCTATTCTCATTGGATTTTTTTTTTTTTTTTTGGTACCAGGGATTGAACTTGGGTCCTTGCGCTTGTGCAGCAAGTAGCGAAACCACTGAGCTAAATCCTCGGCCCTCATTGGACCATTTTTGAAATTGTTATTGTTCATTCCCAAGATACCTCTTATCCATCTTCCCTTGTTCAAGGCAACTGGCTTTTTGTAGAACTGGTGGTGTTTTTGCAGTTCTTCCTTAAAGCAAAGAGTTCGAGGGAACAACTCAAGTTCTCAATTAATTCTGGATAATCTGGGTTCCCCAGAAGCTGAGAGTCTCTATACAGAAAATGTAAATTAAAGCCGTATTCTACTTCAGTCTGCTTGGAGTGTAGGCTGTTACAAAACCCAATTTATTTGCACGTACATTGTGATAAGGCACAGGGACAATCCCAAAACACATACACACACACACACACACACACACACACACACACACACACTGTACTTTTAAAAATCATTCCTTGATGTTGATTACGTTAATATACTTGTAACTATAATTTGTTTAGATATTATTGATTATCTTAAATCATTTTGATGTTGGAGATGATAAATTTGTGTCCTTCTGGGAGCATATTGCTATTTTTATTTTCTTGTGATTTCCTTAGGATAAACTTTCAAGAGCAGAATTACAGAGTCAAAGTGCATGAAATAATAACTAAAATTATTCCAGTGGCTACTCCTTATCTCATCTTCAAGACTTTTTATTTGTTTCCCCTTCAGTATTACAACAAAATGGGATACAAGAAGAAATAAAATATGAGGATCAAATAAAGAAAATTAAAACAACTGGTTGCAACCAAAAAATGACATCATTTGAAATTAATCTGAAAGAAAAAAAGTAAGACTTTTTTTAAAGCTTGGATTTTGATTTCTGACTTTTAAAATTTTGGTCTGTTTTAAAGGTTTATATAAGTGTTCTCTTTTCAGTTTATGACTTCATAAAATATTTATAGTTGGATATCACTTAGGCCTTCTCAAATTTGGTTCCAGAAAAACTTTTGTTCTGCAGATGAGTTTGTGTACTTTGTCAGAAAGTTGAAGATAGATAACCATTGCTTTAGAAAAGCTGTCGGAGAGATTAGACCAGATCCATTGTCTAGTGCCTTTTACTCATCTTGATTACCTTAAATAAGGACAAAGTGAAATAAGAATTTCCAGATACAAACTAATTTGTAAATTTTAAGGAATTTATATCATCTTTGTTATATACAGGTTATAAATCTTAACTAAAATATTTCCCTCAATAAAGAATGAACTAAGATATTTTGTAATTTTGGGTTTGGCCAAAAATGGTACTCAAGCCTAACAGTGAGTAGTTTTTTTGTGAATTTAGTGTGCTCACTTTAGTTCTAGGTTGTTTGTTGGTTTCTCTGAAGGGACATTCTAGGGATTCTAATCTTTTTTTAAATAATAGTATAGACTAGAATTTATGAAAGAATTAAAATCCAAGTTCTTACTTATATTCTTTTGGGACATGTTGATTGTAGGTCTGGAAAGGTAAAATCTACTCCATTTAACTTCTTGAAAAATAACCAACAAGATTCACTTCTGTTTTTAAAATGTCAACATAATATAAATGGTTACTGCTAAAATTCCCTTTAGATCGTAGATTTTATTGGAAATTGGGTTGTGCTTATTACCAGTGCTCAACTTGAAGTTTTAGGGACTTGGAGATAAATTCTGGCATTGCTCTTGACTGGGTGGTATTGGTCAAGTCATTTAATTTCTCTTTAATAGCTGGTAAAAGATGACACCTATGTTAAATACTACTTATTATGTGCCCAGCTGAATTCAAGCCCTCTTGCTATATTCACTCATTTAATCCCTGCCCCAACTCTTCGAGGTAGGCTCTTAATACCCTCAGCTTATGGTTAACAAAGACACAGGTAGATGTTAAGTGACCTGTCCAATTGAGTAATGGAGCCAGCACTCAAACCCTGACAGGCGAGCCCAGAACTCTCCCTCTAAACCTCCAAACCCCCATACTCTTCATCTGTAAAATGATAATAAAAATGGCCATTTCCAAGAGTAGGTGCAGAGGTGATACAAGACAATATATGTGAAGGTGCTTTGTAAACCACAACAATCCATGGAAATAGAAGGTTCTACTATACCATGTCTTCTGATACTACTGTAGTTCTGGTAGCAGGTGGGTGAGAAGTGTCAGAACAGCATTTCTGAACATTGTTTGCCTTTATAGTATGACAAGTAATGCTCAGCATGAGTGAGTGACTGTGCAAATTTCTTTACTCCCCAACTTGGAGGTTACATGTCAGAGGAAGACTCCCAAGTCTTTCTGATTTCATTGTGTTCTTTGTTGACTTTTAACAGCATTTCATCTTAAGCAGGTGCCAACACTGAAAATTTACCAGTGATATTATTAAGCATTGGTAACCTCACCAGAAGCCTAGAGTGTGGATTTCTTATGTTCTTCACTTGCTGACATGTCACTGTGACCTCCTTCCACAGGTACCGGGAGGACTTTAGCCCCCTGGTGAAAGAATGTTCCTGTTACTGCTGTAAGAATCACACTCGTGCCTACATCCACCATCTGCTGGTAACCAATGAGCTGCTGGCTGGGGTCCTGCTTATGATACACAACTTTGAACACTATTTTGGATTTTTTCACTCCATCCGGGAAGCACTAAAAAGTGACACACTGGCACAGTTGAAAGAGCTCATTCGCAGGCAAGCATCTGGAGAACTGGGAAATACAAATCTGACTCTGCATTGAGCTTATACCATGGTTATAACATGGGAACAAATGAAGAAGAAATGATCTTAGCTTTATTTTTTTGTTGTTTGGGTTTTTGTTGTTCTTTTTGTTTTTTTTTTCTTTTTGAAACAGGGTCTCACTGTGTAGTTCCGGCTGGTCTTGAACTCACTATGTAGCCCAGGGCACTCACAGTGATCCTTCTGCCTCAGCTTTCCTGAGTGTTGGGATTACAGGCATGTGTCACTATGCCCAGAATGATTTTAGCTTTAAACATTTATATTTAAGGATAAAAATCTGCTAAATTAAAGAATATCTGAAAAATATGAGTAAAGTAAAGAATGGCTTTTTCAAACTGCCCACATGATAGTGAAGAGGTGTCTTCTAAAAACTTAAATCGCCTAGCCAAGTTTGGTGACTTATATGCCTGTAATTCCAGTATTTAGGAGGCAGAGACAGGATTGGAAGTTGAAGAGGCCTGCTTGGGCATTTTAGTGAGAGTCTGTCCCAAAATAAGTAAAAAGGAGGGCCGGGAATTTACCCAGTTGCCCCACAACTGCCTGACAAGTGCAAGGTCCTGAGTTCAATTTCTAGTACCCTCCCCCCCCCAAAATAAAAAGGGCTGGTGATGTAGCTCAGTGGTAGAGTCCTTGCCTAGAATGTACAAGGCTCTGGGTTCAATCTTTAGTACCACACAAAAAGTAAAAAGAAAGAAGAAAAGACTTAGGTGGCATTTCTTACATTGGTAAGAAAGGGTTGAACCGTGATCTTCAAAATGTCTAGGCTAATTCTTATTACAGTAGACCCTTGACTCATAAACTCAATTCGTTCAAGAGGTCTAGTTGTAATTCAGGTTGGTCAATTAATGGCTCAGGCTCCTCTACACAGCCTTCAAAGTCTCTCTCCTGTATATAGGCAGATCTCAGTATCCTGAGAGATGTTGGCCCGGGATTTCTCAATTAACCCCACACAGGAAAGGATGTTGTAATGTTCCTTTCAGAACTCTTTAAGGGTTAAATCTGTATCTGAGACCATCTGGAAGCACAAGTGGCTGGCATTTGGGCTGTAACTCAAGACTTTGTAAGTTAAAACTAAAACTCTGATCATAACCCAAGTTGTTCATATGTCAGGCTGGCCATAACTCGAGGGTCCACTGTAGTTGACAGAAATTCACCTGATGGCTTTAGATGGGAGGAGACACTCTTAAAAGGGGAGATGAAATTGTAGGGGCCACTGAAAGATGAACTGGGACCTGCGGGGTGATTACTTCATAAGTAGTGTAACCTCTGTGGACACACAGCCTGTTAACTGGAGGAGGAATCTGGCTGATTTGATGGTTTTCTTTATTTTGACCGTCATACTGTCAGGGGCCTCTCTTTGTCTTCCAAGTGCTCTGCTAGTGTAGTCACTCAGAAAGGGCTCATGTGGCTTCACCACACTTGTGTCTTCTTGTGTGGACCTCACACAGCGCTCCTGTGATCACATGGCTCAGGTCACACCTTCATTTGGCCACTTGATCTGTTTGTGGCTTGTCTTCCTAGGGAGTGTACTTACCAGTTAGGAGCCCAGTGGTTGCACAGCTACTTTTATCTAGTTGCACAAATCCACCGTGGTCTTCCCTCCGGGGTCATAAATAATCTAAGCTCGTAATAACTGTAGCCCTATCTCTTGTGGAGATTCATTCTTATGTATTCACTCGGATGAGCCACCAAGCTGGCCAATTAGATGATCATTTTCAGCTGCTCAGTTGTGACGCATGAATGCAGCACTTAACCTCTCCATTGCTTCCTCGTTAATAAGTTGGGGCAGGCAGAGCGATAGGACTAAATAAACTTCTAAGATTCTGCTGGCTTTAAAATTTGAGAAACAAAAAGCTTTAGATTAGAGTCTTAGCCACACTTGTCATTCTTGTTTATTAATCACTATTGGCCTGACTTAAAAATTCACCAGTACCAGGAGTCAAGTAACATAGTAAATGTATTTGAGAACTTAAAAAGAACTCCAGCCTGTGAATTTTGAAGTGATTAGTGAATTGGCATCAGAAAATCCTTACACTAGAGTCATCCTTGATCATATGATTTTGTCATGGTGTTACCAAAGGAGTGACATTTTTGTTGATAGTATGATAGACAGGGAATTTTTATTTTCTTTGAACTTTTTTATATTTGTCAACTTTAAAGTAAGGAATATGTATAAACATAGGCACACACATACTCTTTATAAAAATAATAATGGAACCAAAATGATGCCCCTTTTTTGTATGGGTAAGAAGTACATTTGTTTTACACTCATGTTATATTTTGCTGTTTTTTAAAAATTTAGTGGCCATTACTGTTCAATAATTTTTTGTAGTTCTTATATGGCTATTATATATTTATGTGTTGGGAGCCCATCTATGTTTCTTTCTTTAGTAATATAACTTTAGCATGAATGACAGTGGACACTTACAGAAGCCAGAGTTTCTGTTCTCAAGGATATGATTGTCTTAAAATATGTTGTTTTTTACTTGTTCCTGTGTTCATATTCTTGTTCAATGCCAAAACCCGTTGCTGAAGAAGTATCAGTATATATTCCAGAATCTATAAAAAATTTATGAGTTGTATTTATGTCGAAAACACTGAAAATTCTGTTCAATGTTGTTCACTTCCTTGGTTCTTTTTCTTATTAGCACATTTGAAAGATTTCTTTAATGCAATAAATCTATTAAAGGTAATAGCCAGTAAACAGTTTTGATTTTAAAAAATCACTGTGTATTGCTTTCTGTAAATGTTAGTGAGTCTATTAGACAAAATATTAAATTTCCATGGTTCCAAGAATGTTCTAGAGATTTCTTATTGAAAAAAACATTTTAAAATACTTTTTCCATCTGTAGTCATTGTTTTGAGAACTTTTATACTACATGCAGAATCCAAAATGGAGCTATTACTCAGTGATATACATTATGAAAATTCCCTTGCCTGTCTCCTTAAGTTGTACAAGTAGCATCTGTAAGGCATTCTGGTGCATAATAAGAATATTATCCATAATTTCTGAAGCATTTTAATGTTGCAGGCAACTTAGTAAATGCTTTCCATACATATCTCATTGACGGCTGTGAGGTGTGAATACTATTATTCCTGTATTAAGCATGAGTTTCAGGAAGGCTGAGTTAGCCTCCCTGAAGGTCTACCAAAAAATTTGGAAAAGTGGAGCCTTTTCTATCTTTGGGTCTATCTATCCCTTCTCAGCTCCTAGGTTAGATTCTGGCTCCATCTGAGTAAAATTCAACAGTTAGCCATTGCACTAAGTAGATTCTCACTTATTTTAGCCATTGCACTAAGTAGATTCTCACTTATTTTGACTTGCTCCTGGGTTGAAGGGACAGAAAGAATCAAGGGCTGACTAGAAGGTATTGGAACAGAATCAATATAAAATATATGGATAATTACATAAAGGGATTTATAAGGTAGGCTTATAGGATCAGAAGTGGAAGAATTAGAAATGGATGTCTGTGTGTGAGAGAGCCAGAGAACCCAGTAGCAGCTGAAGATCAAAGGCGCAGTAGACTCGCTGTAGTCACCTGGAGAGTCTCTACTGGAAGGCTAAAGAAACTGGAGAACAATGTCCAAAGGCAGTAGTGAAGATTGATGCTCTTCCCCCCAAAATCAAGGGTACATTTCCTTATTCTTTCCCCTTTTATTCTGTCTGGAATAGATTGGTACCAGCCACATCCAGAGTGGGTCTTTTCCTTAGTTTTCTGGCCTATGTGTCAGTTATCCACAGAAATGCCTAGAGCATGACTAATCTGCTGGGACATTTTTATTCAAGTCAAGTTGACGTATCACAGTCAACAGTCACAGAGGGTTACCATTCCAGGGGGGAATAGCTGGCACTGGTTCATGCAGTCCACAGTACCAGGCTGGCCCCTATGGATGCTCACTATTGGTTGTCAGTCCATGACCTCTAATCCCCACCCCACCCCCATCCCAGCTGGGGGCTAACCATACCCTGAATAGTGTTGAAAGGGTTTGGGGATTTTGAGTAATACCAAAAATCTCAGGTAATCAATAGGAGTCTGTGGTTTCTTACATATTTTGGGAGAGGGATATTTTGTTATTCTTTGGAATAAAAGGAAAATATCTTTTAAAATCAAGTAGTTGAATAATTAAAACATTTTAATAAATATTTCAAACAAAGACCATCAAAGGGTCAAGGCTAGAGTGTGAAGCAACTATCTTATCAAGGATTTTTAATTATCTTTTTCTTTTGAGGCAGCTAACTGAGAAACCAGAGTTAAATGATTATCCTGTGCCTTCCTGATTAGGAGCAGGCTGCTCTCTGCAGTTTGATTAGTCTTGCTTGTAGTTATGGGCTTATAGCTTATTAAAACTGACAGTGGGCTGGGGATTTAGCTCAGTGGCACCGTGCCTGCCTCACAAGTACAAGGTCCTGAGTTCAATCCCCAGTACAAAAAAAAAAAAAAAAATTAAAACTGACAGTGCTGCATAGGGCAGGGAGCCTGGAAGGTCAAACTCACATGCTGAGCCAGCCATCAGCAAGGCTCTGCCTTTACCTAAAGGTTTGGTATAATTGGCATTCATTAATATCTCTTAATATCTTTCCCTTCAACCTTCATATCTCTTCCTTAATGTACATATTTGGTCTCTTTTTCCTCATTTGATTCCCAGGTTTACGACCACAAATCCCAAACAACAGTGGGCAAAGAAGAATGAAGGAAGCCCAGTGTAAGCAGTGTGACTGGGTTCTCATATATCATTGCCATAACAATGGCATAACTGGTTTATGCCTGTGGTCCTGGTATAATTATTAATGACACTCCTCCCCCTTATTCTCATATTGTCCTCCAGTTTGGACAAGTTATACGGTCACTCTAATGTAAGTGGTAGAGATGATCAAGCTGGAGAGCAGGTGCCCAATCTAAACAGTACAGCTGCTACACACATCTAGCTAATTGCCACTCTGGGCCCAATGCTGTCAAATAGTCCAGACTTTTCAAGAGAAGCCAAAAATCTGGGTCCTCACAAATTATAAATGCTGGATCAATTTTTAAAAACTATCCTGCTAGCCAAACAAAATTTAAGGGTGCCCTCTTTGTAACCTCTGGCTTAAAATCTGGAGGGAAGGCTTGGGCGTCTTTAACAGTTAAAAATTTCTCAGCAACTGGTCAATATATACATAAATGTACCAATAGTTTCTAGTTCCTGCACCCATTTACAGATTCTCAGATTAAGAGATATCCATGTTCCACCTCCATTGCATGACCCCCACATATCCCAGAACCATTCTAAGCAAGCCATAAGGAAAGATATGCATCTTGTTCAACCTATTTTATGGATGAGAAATTTTAGGCCTGGTGCAGTTGATTGTGTCTAGCAGCTGGCTGTGCCTCTACCAGTTGGTTGTGTTTCTCCTTTTAAGGACTGTCTTACTCTGTTCAGGCTGCTTTAACAAAATACCACAAAATGAATGGCCTGTAAACAACAAATTTATTTTGCACAGTTCTGGAAGCTAGAAGTCTGACATCAGCATGCCAACATGATTGGGTTCTGGTGAGGGGCTTTTTCTGGATTGCAAACTGTCATGTTCTTGTATGGTAGAAAAGGGGCTGAAACATTCTTTGGAGTCTCTTTTATTTATAAAGACACTAATCTCAATCACAAAGCCTTCACCCATCTGACCTAAATTACTTCCCAAAGGTCCCAACTCTGAATGCCATCATATCAGGGGTTATGATTTCAATATATGTGCTCACAACAAAGAGTTTAAACATATATGCATCTTTCTAGTTACCATGTTGGCACTTCTACATCGTGCCCCTACTTTCTGCTCGGTCTGTGACCTTTCCAGGTTTATCATCAATTTCCTATGACTCACTTTCCAGTGATCCTCTCTGCTCTCACAAAACCAGCTGGTGCAAGGACACAGATTCCTATTGCACCTTCCAGCATTAGTCCTGACCGGCACAGTGAGATCTCGATTACTGTTCGCCAAGCAAGAGATATTCTCAGAGTACGGAGCTGAGGCATTATCTTCAGAGGTTAGCAGCCAGAAGCTCTGGTTAGAAGTGACTTGCATAGCAGTATGTGGTAAGACCCAGGCCATATGTCTTGTCAGTGGTAGTTTTTATCTCATTTTATGCTAGGTAAGCTCCCAGTGACCTTGCACATTATTTTTTTCTCTTACTTGATTCCATGTCCCATTGCCATCTTTTAATGCTGACCTCAAAGCAATTTCCCCTGCTCTGACAAGAGGAACTCAGAGTGAACTTCTCTTTTGTTCTCTTACAATCCACTCTGAGACCAGACTGAAGTTGCCAAGGAGTTCAAACAGCCCTATGCTCTACCAGTATGAATCAGAGGGATTACCCCCTCACTGCCTCATTCGCCTCTTTCTCTGAACTATTCTCCCCTGCTGTCTGCTCCTTTGTCTGTGAAACACATTTTGCCTTATTATCACCTTGTTTCCTGCCTGCTTTGGACAGTTTCAGCTTGGCTTTTAATAAAATCAAGATGTTGTTATTAACAGTCTTCTTTTTCTTAACAGCTCAGAGTCACTTTCTTTTATTTAGTCCTTGTTCCCTTCCCTCCCAAACCACATAATAATCTCTGTTTCAAATAAAAGTTCTATAGCCATTTCATAACCACTGCTTTATAGTTGCTATCAAAAAGGCACAAGATGGGGAGAAAAACCAAAAGGTGAAGGGTGAGGGATACTCCAATAATTGAGAAATAGACAAGACTCTTCAGGACGTGTCAGTAAAGAAATTAGGTAAGTTTAGCTCTCAAGTCTGAACACTGCAAGCTTGGTGGTCTGGTCAAGTTTTTCTTTAATTTTTATGGATGGATGGAAAGGTGGTCTCCCCTCTGAGGATCTGTTCTCCTTCCCGATACTTAAAATATTGTCTTAGAACTCTCCCAGCATCATTTATGTTGCTCATAAATCCTTTTATAGAATCCAATTACATGATAGACATGAGTTTTTCAAATCACATCCCCCAAAGCTAAACCATTTGCCCACATTTTCTAGCATTTTCCATTCCCTTCTCATTTATTTTTATTTCAGTTTAACAAACTTAAATAACATTTGCATCACAATTCCATTTATTGTTCTCCATAATGCCAGCTGAAAAAAAAATACAAACACTGCAAATATACTCAGTTTCCACATATAAATTACACATCAAAAGAGAAGAGAGTGACAGTATGTTCAAGTTTTTCTTATCCTTTATCTGATTTTGGTAAGTTTTTCCCATTTCATGTTGTTTTGTAGAAGGTCTCTTGCAATCAGTTCTACCTTACTTTTCCATTTGAATATTTAGTTATACCACAAGTCTAAAATGTCAAAAACCAACTTTACTATCTATCCTTCTATCAAACTAGCTCTCTACTTCAACTGTCTTGCCTGATTCAATGGCACTTGTCTTCCAGTCAAGACCAGCAGGAAAAGTTATTCCCTGGATGAATAATGCAATGCATAGAAGGGATGGGTACAAGATATTGCAAGGAGACATCAACAAGACTTGGTGGTTGGCTCACAGGATGCAGTTAAGGCCTAAATCCAGGAAGGTTTCCGCCCATCCTGCCCTTGTTCCCTTCCTGTCATCTCCAACTCCACCTTCTTCCTCCTGTAGTTTCATCATTCACTGCTACCAAGCTAGGAATTCAGATTCAAGGTCTGACCAGAAGGGGAAGGCAAGGCTTGTAGAAGGGTCCA